AATGAACAACATTCATATAAAATCAAACACATCTATATATTATACCCAATTAAGGATTAAATTTAATTAAACCATCATTACAAACACAAGCACAGAGTTATCTTTATCAGAGATCTATAACAAACACAAATGGAGAAATGGACGGCAACCCAAAATCGAAATGGCCGCACTTACTAAAGAAACAAGACATTATGATGCATGTATAGCTTATCCCTTCTTCTGAGAAAAATTTAGCACATGCTCATCGTGTTCTTCAGTTCAGATTGACTTGGATCAAGTCATTTCTTTATAAGAAAAAGAGTTTTGTATTTTCTCCTTTTTGTTCCTTCTTTCTAGGCTTTAGGGTTTCTTACATGAAAAATGTGCATTATGGGAAAGGTGCATTACAGAAAATAAATATATGAGTGTGTGTATTTTTATTTTGTGGGAGGATATGATAAAGATCACCGACCTGACATAACAACTACGTACCTACTATCTTTACACAAGCTTACTTAGTTAAATAAAATTAATTAATAGTGGGTTTTCTTTTAATATAGAGAAAAGAATTCGAATTTAATTGTCTGCGTAGAAAAATATATGTATTTATTATTAATAATCGAAAATAGAAAGTGTTTGTTTTAATCCGGGGGATAATTAATCTAATCTTTTTTTATAATTCCTGCCTAATTTGAATGTATTCTTTTGGTGCTCCGTATGATTAAAAGCACCAACATGACATGATATTTGTACATGTTAACGCCTTTAAATAAGATTAATTGATAGTGGGATTTTTTTTTTGATTTAGACAAAGGAATTCGAATTTAATTATCTAAACAGAAAACTACAAGCATTTATCCTCAAACTATCAAAGATAGAAAAATGTGTGTTTTGATTTGGGGAGACTAATCAATTCTTCTTTATTTATAATTCCTACCTAATTTGAAGATCGAAAATTTTTATTAAAATAATAATGGTATCTTTTTGATGTTCGATATGATTAAGAACGCCAAAATGATATAGTAATTATTCACGATATTTACACATATTTATATTTTAAAATAGACCTAATTGATAGTGGTTTCTTATTAAAATTTTATAGAAAAAAATTCAAACTTAATCCTTGGAATAAAAAATTACATATATCTATGATTGAGAAAGAGATATATATGTTTATCAGTTCATACTACTAAAATAGTTAAATAAACTTGTGCTATACCACAAAGTGATGACGTGTTCCCCACGAAGTTTTTCATCATCTTGCATTACAGTGAACTGCCTCCCCCCTATTCCCCTAATCCCATTTTGGTAATGGTAAAAGATTCTTCATGGAATTCAATTCATCATGGTAATCAAAAAGCATCTCCCATTTCCACCTACAGGCCCAAAAACCAATAATTAAAGTGTGAGAGAAGAAGAGTCCCAAGGGGACACGACGAAAATATTAGTAAAAGTTCTACTTGTCACATTCCCTGGAAAAACTTTTCCTGCCCACGGTCTCCCTTTCACGTGAAACGTGGCCATAAAAACAGTAAGAATGCTCTTGCTTTTCCTGCCGCAAGTATTAGTGGGAAAATTTTTAGTTTATTTAATTTGATGTTTACAGGGAAACCCTTTTCCCAGTTTTTCTTTTGTTTTGAAAAAATGTTCGTCATCATCACAAGGGTAGGTAAGAGGGTTCGCGTGGGCTGGTGCATGTGATTTTCTATCCCAGAGAAATACAGAGTGGAGAGAATGCGGACAACAAAAGAAATGGGTTTTTCATTTCTTTAATAGAAGCAAAAAGGGAATCAAAGTTAATCCAATCAAGTCAAAGTCTTTTATATTTTATGCTAAGTGCGTTTGTTCATTTTCTGCGTGTGGTATCTTCTACCAGCTATATCCAGCCTCCAGGAGTATATTCCCACTTGCTGGCATATATATTCAGGGAGAAAAAGCTAGCTGAAGCTTTCTTTCTCCCTCCCTCAAGTCAGGAGATGCTCCTCCTAGCTCCAATTATCAGAGAAGTCCTGGAAAACTAAACCTTTTCAATCTTCAAGAAAGGTTTATGTTCATAATGAAATTGTTCTTTTACAGTTAGCTAGCCTTGCAGTCTCCCGCGGGGTAGGCAAAGACTAAGTCTCTCTCCTTGGTTCTCTTTATGTTTTCAACACGATCATTTCATCATGAACGAAGATGAGTCAATGTTTTACTTAATCTTGATTTTGATCAATGACAGTCAATATGATCTTTGCGTAAACAAAAATTTAGATTAAAATACGTTGTCGTGATAAAGAAGTTGATTCCTTGATCAGAGAACTATTATGATCTAATGGTATTCTAATGAAATCATTGTATCAACTGCTGAGTTTTACTAACTCAAACGACTAACAAAAAGAGAAAAGAAAAAAAAAACCCAGTTTTTCTTGACAAATTAAATATATTTTGACTTTGTATGCACACAAGGTTAATTAAAACGAAAAACAGAAAATACCATGAAATCAGATACAATATTAATTTGAGGCTTAAACATGAAGGTCGTGTATGCATTGTTTGACTGAATTCTTGAAGATCTTCTTTCATTTTCCAGTTTTTTTCTGGCTGTAAACTTTCCAAACAAAGCTGTGAGACAACCAGGCAGGGAATGTTTAATTAGTCTAACAAGACAAAAAAGCAATGGAGTATGTCTGAGGTTATTTTACACCTCTGGGATTCAACTTTCTTCAAAGTATTATCCAAAGACCAGGTCAGCAATCTGACTTCTGAACTCTTGACACCCCCAACATGAAACCAGGCTTGCCAGTTTACCTGACAGCCAATGCAGTTTAAGAAATTAAGTACCAGCCCCAACATAGTCTTTGGATTCTGCAGCTCCAGAAGTATATATGAACGATCATCTTCTGTATATGAAGATGAAAATTCTACAAAATATTGTTGAAATTTTGTATTAAATCTCTTCTTAATTTTGCCCGATCACCACATAAAAATGCAAGTTCATCCGATGGAGTGATGTCAGGATGCCATAGCTTACCCGCGTCATTGGGGATTGAGAAATGAGGGGTGTACTTGCTTTTTGTCTGTGAACAGAAAAGCTATCCGTGAAAAAGGGTCTTGGTCTCTGCGATGTAGGGTTTTGTCTTTCTTTTCCAAGCTCTTTTTTGAACTCCATATCCGTCACAAAGATTTGTTTCACACTTGAGAAACTCCCAAGGTTTTCACAAGGTTCGTGATCGTCATAGGTTTGAAAAGTCAGAGAGTTTTGCTTCTCTTTCACTGCTTTTGAAAGTGGAGATCATGACTTGAGGAGAGAGCTAGTGTCATTTCAACACGTTAAAAAATGAATAATGACTTAGACAAATGGATCGAAAGAAAACATTCATGACCCCCCAAACTAAAAATCTTTCCATACTGCTACTTCTTCTTCACTCTGTCATGATAATCAACAAGAAAACTGGATGCAAATAGAATCCAGGGGGGAAACTTCGATTGAAACCCAATTTAGCACGGAATCCAAACAATAATTTCCCCTGGTTATCTCCCTGGTTAATCAATCTTAAACCACTTTTCCAGGCAGGTGAAAGTTCTTGGGAGAGCAGTGAGAGGCTGTCAGATAAAGGTAAATCTGGAAACTTTACAAGAGACAATGGCAGCAGCATTCGAATGACGGTGTGATAAAATCAAACGTGGGAGTGTTTGACTATAACATACTTTGACACACCGACAGCTTCCTAACTTAGAACATTAATCTTAGACTTTTGTTTTTCTATTGCTTTGGTTCAAGAACATTTATTAATTTAGTTTGATTGATGATTTTCTTTTCAATTCTTTTTACAATGAAAAACAAGAAACTTCACGCAAATTTTGCACTAAAGTCATGGTTATTCCTTTTTTATGCTTATTTGACTAGTATATCAACCAAATCATCTTAAACATTAAAAGGATTACCTATATGTTATTATCATTTAAACTTGCATGTTGCTTTCATTCATTATCTTATTTTATTTCTAAAAATTTTAATATAATTAAATAAAAATTACCTATTGTATTGATAATTTGACACATGTGTAAAATTTATTTGACAAAATTAAAAAAAGTTGTCAACTATTCAAATTTGCTTATATCATATTTCTATCTTGGTATACATGACCAAGTGTTAGATTGATAAAGCTCAATAATTGATGTATTTTTTTATATTAAAAAATTGGATTTGATGTTTTTCATTTTTTGACATAAAAAAAAGTAAAATTGTAATTATTAAAGGACTTCTTAGATAGTAACCACTCAAGACTGGTACACCTATATTTATAAGGCCATTTGCCCTTAATTTTGGATGGCACATTGTTTTTAAAATCTTAAATGGACAAATAAATCTTGCAAATTTTATTATGAATCCAAATGCAACATTTTATTATGATCTCTAGTTTTTATTTTTTGCATAGGCTCTAGCCTTTGTAAGGCCAATGGTTTGTTTTGGCCAAAAAGAGAAAGGTCAATCTGACCAATGTTCCTTTATTTACTTGATTGAATAAATTGCAAATGGTAATTTATTTATTTATTTTGTTATCATTTTATGAATAAACAAATTAAAATTTTTTTAAAATTAAATACTTATTTTGAATCACTATCAAATTTTTATTTTACATATTGACGTAATGATGCTTTATGATTAGATGATATAAATACTATAAGGCTGAGAATGCATCAATTGCTTCTGAAAATAGATTACTCTTAATAATTTTTATTTAATGATGACAAGACAAGTAATAGAAATGATGAAATCATTTTCTGTTATTGAAACTAAAAGGGAAAACCTAAAAGGATTAAAATTTGACAGCATGATGAAGATTCAAGGTATAATTAGGAAAGCAGTTAATTCAGGTATTGGAATCCAATATTTCCTTTTTGTTTTTTCTGTTATTAATAAAAACAAAAAACCAAAAATGAAATCTCATTGATATTTTGTTTTCTTATTTTTGGTCATAAAAATAAAATAATTATTGAAATAAATAATAAAAATAAAAAGTCTTTTTTGACCATGGCAGCACCACCATCATCCCCCTCTCCTTCTTCCCCTCTTCCTCCCTTCTTTCCTATCTCATTTCCTTCCTGCCTCTTTCTCTTTCTCTTCGTGGGGGCTTAATCATTAGCCCTTTTTGCTATTTATTTCATTTCTCCTTTTTTTTTTTCCCATGGAATTCTATCTTTGAAACTCATTCCTTTGATATCCTCTTCTGCTTTTTTCTTTTGCTTTTTATCATCATGGGAGCCTGTCTCTCTACCACCAAAGTCAGTGGCTCAAGCAGCAACGCCGGCGCGAACCACCGCAAAGAACAACAACCCACGACAACGACGACAAATGAGAAAAAACAGTCTCAAAAGCCTAATGGTCAACAGGGTCGGCAGCGGCAGCAGCAACAACAGGTGAGGAATTCTCAGCCTTTAAAGGTCAAAGGGAAACCAAGTGCGAGGAGACAGAGTGGGATCATCCCTTGTGGGAAACGTACGGATTTTGGGTACCATAAGGATTTTGATAAGTGTTACACGATTGGGAAATTGTTGGGACATGGACAATTTGGTTACACCTATGTTGCCACGGACAGGGCAAATGGGGATCGGGTTGCCGTTAAGAAAATTGAGAAAAATAAGGTATTGTTTTTTTAATGTTTTTGTAAGCCTTCTGTTGTTTATGCTTCTGGGTTCTTGGGATTTATCTGATTCACTGTTCTTTGTGGTTATATATGTTGTCTGTGATATTCAAGGTGGGATTTTTCTTCGTGGGGAGGGAAGGCCGTTTTTTTATCTGATAAATTAAAAGTGGGGTTTTTTGGAGTTTAATTTGGATTGGAATTTTTGATAATGGTGGGGTTAAGGGAATTTTGGCTTCTGCTTTGGATTCCTTATTGATTTTTTATACGTTAATTTGCTTTGTCTTGAACATGAAGCAAGGCTAAGAGAACTTTTCTCTTCTCTGTTTTCTAATCTAATGATGGGAGAATTCACTTTTTTTCCCGTCTGGTTGATCGTAATTAGAGGCATCATTGTCTTAAGTATGGCAAAATTTGGTGGAGGATCTGCAATAACCTCGTTGAGCTATGAGGATTTTGCATCTTTTCTTCGGCTTGACAATCTTATTGCAGTTTTAAGATCTTGGTTCGGCAAGCTTGCTTTTTAACAATTTGTGATTGCAAGTTTGCAGTGATTGAATTTGATTGTCATCATAATTGGTAGTTTTGATGTGAAGCTGCAACCTATAACCTGCGTGTATTTTGTAGTTCTGGCTGACAGTGAATTGCATAGAAGCATAGTGGGGAGATCAACTAGAAGATGCTGTAGTTTCACTAAATTAACTATTGTAAATTTCAGAAGTTCAATGTCTCTTGCTCAGCGTTCCTGATGGGGTGTTGCTTTATTTTCTGTGTTTTTTTTTCCTTATCTCCAAATGCATAACGAACTGTTCTGAGTAGCAACCATGTTCCTTTGAGCAAGAAAAGTGGTCCAGTGTTGGCAGTTTTTATTTCTTTATTGCCTGCTAGACTTTTTAGCTGATGCCAAATAGCTTGGTGTCGGGAACTTAGTTTTCTAAATGAGGTTATGCGAATGGAAAGACTTTTTGTTTTCCTATATAGTTGTGCAATAACTATTTCTGCCATTACCACAGATGCATCGTTCTTGATGGTTAAGTATTTAACTGATAAAGAAATCTAGAGGCATTAGATTCTTTCCTTGTCCATCTTGAAGTGGGACATTTTTTTTGTTCTTTTTCTTCTTTTAAATCCCTGGGTTGGGCGCAGATGGTTCTTCCCATTGCTGTTGAGGATGTCAAGCGAGAGGTCAAGATATTGGAAGCCCTGAAAGGCCATGAGAATGTGGTTCAGTTCTATAATGCATTTGAGGATGATTCCTATGTATACATTGTTATGGAGTAAGTTTCCATAATTTTTATCTTCTTTTCTGGCTTTCCATTTAGTTCTGATTTTCTCTTAATTGTGTCATTTCCTATTTCGTGTCTTCTGATGTACAGTTTTGCCTTGGCAATATCTTTGGCCATGGATATACTTTCATTTCAATCCTCCTATCTCTTGACTCTATTATGTGTTTGCTGTGTGATGCTAGGTTATGTGAGGGTGGAGAATTGCTGGACCGGATATTAGCCAAGTAAGGATGCTTAGTTAATTGATTTTGGGATGCTGTTACTGCAAAATTATGTGTTTTTATGGTCCAAATGTAGTAGTCAGTACTTTATTTCTGTTGATGTTTCAAATAGTGTAACAACCAGGAGTACCTTATGCTTGCCTTCTTCTGTCAGAAAGGACAGTCGTTATAGTGAAAAGGACGCAGCGGTAGTTGTACGGCAGATGCTCAAAGTTGCCGCTGAGTGTCATTTGCGTGGCTTGGTGCACCGTGACATGAAACCCGAGGTATGCTCAAGTACATTAACAGGGCTTACTTGTAAACTTCCTCTTTAGGAAGTCATGCTGCGTACTAATGGTTCCTTCATTGTTTCTTGCATGTAGAATTTCCTATTTAAGTCAACCAGAGAGGACTCACCTCTGAAGGCTACAGATTTTGGTTTGTCAGACTTTATCAGACCTGGTGAGTGGTATTTGCTTCATGCAGAGATCTTGTCATTGCTCATGATTGAACTGTTTTTTTTTTTTTTAAATTAATGCGATCCATTAATCCATCTATTCTGCATTTTTCATTTTTCCAACTCTTGTCTTTATACATAAACCCTCTTCTACTTGCTACTTTTATAATCCTCATGCCACAAAAATCCAAGCCATACAATCCTAAGCTATGACCAAATGCAGGGAAGAGGTTTCAAGATATTGTTGGCAGTGCCTACTATGTTGCTCCTGAAGTATTAAAACGAAGGTCAGGGCCTGAATCAGATGTATGGAGTATTGGTGTGATTACCTATATTTTGCTCTGTGGGAAACGGCCCTTTTGGGATAAGACGGAGGATGGCATATTTAAGGAGGTGACTACATTTTAATCATGGATTTTGATTTATTTTTTTCATTTCCTTTTATGGGTTTTGTCATTTTATTATATTATTATCATATGTAGACAGAAAACTACATTGTGCTTTACTTGTTTCATCACCATGGGCATTTCACATGAACTGATGACCATACTTGTGGAATCCTGTGCACTCCATTTTACCCTTTATGCTCTAGTTATGTATGGAAGAATTCTGGAGATTATGTTCACCCTCCAAGTTACTCTAGCTGTCTTTTGTTTTCCCTGAATAATCATACTTTTTCCTATAAAATTCACTTGACTATTTGTGTCTAAGATGTGTTATCTTCTGTTTTTTGATAATACGTATATTTTCTGGAGAATTCTTATGCAACTGTCTATAACTTCAGGTTCTGAAGAACAAGCCTGATTTTCGTCGTAAACCATGGCCAACAATTAGCAACAGTGCTAAAGACTTTGTGAAGAAGTTATTGGTGAAGGATCCTCAGGCAAGACTGACAGCTGCTCAGGCCCTATGTATGTGTTCACATCATCTCTTAGTAAATTATTCTTTTTCCTTTTTTTCTTTCTAGCTTTAAGGAAGTGGTATCGCATGTCAACTTTGCTTTTAGCTACTAAAGTAAATCTTCTATGGTGTTATCATTTTATCCTCCTATTATTTCTAGAATATCTGATTGGTTCAACTTCTCCAGCTCACCCATGGGTTAGAGAAGGAGGAAATGCTTCTGAGATTCCTGTTGATATATCTGTTCTGAACAACCTGCGGCAATTTGTGAAGTACAGTCGATTGAAGCAGTTTGCTCTGAGGGTAACAGTTTTTCTTCCTCTTCAAATATTGATGGATTATTTTATGGGCATTAGAGGCTACTGTTCCCTCCTTTCATTGTTCATCGCTTTAAATATAATTATTACTTGTAGGCGTTGGCTAGCACGCTTAATGAAGAGGAGATAGCTGATCTTCGGGATCAGTTTGATGCAATTGATGTGGATAAGAATGGTTCTATTAGTCTTGAAGAGATGAGACAGGTAAACATTTCTTTCATAAACATCTATTAGGTTGCACGGAGTTTAGTCCTAATAAGGATGGTTTCAGTGCAGGCCCTTGCTAAAGATCTTCCTTGGAAGGTGAAGGAATCACGTGTTCTAGAGATTCTTCAAGCGGTGAGTACAGGTTTCCTGTTCTTTTTCTGAGGGTCATTCTTGTTTTTGTCCCTTTGCTTTCTCTCTTGTAAATAGTAGTATTTTTCCTTTTAGTGGTTTTGATTGTTGTGTTGTTGTTTATTTTCTTTGATCTCAGATTGATAGCAACACGGATGGCCTCGTTGATTTCACTGAGTTTGTTGCGGCTGCCCTACATGTGAATCAAATGGAAGAACATGATTCTGATAAATGGCAGCAGCGGTCACAGGCTGCTTTTGAGAAATTTGATGTAGATAGAGACGGGTTTATAACTCCTGAGGAGCTTAGAATGGTAAGTTTTATTTTGTGGTGTTTATCTTTTTCCTTCTAAAAAGAAAGGTAAAGGAAATATGGTAATTCTGCTGTGGTCATCAACCGTACCAATTCTGCAATTCAGTGTAGCCATGCGACATCAGGTGAAAGCTAGGTTTAATATTATAATATACAAAAACTTGAATTTTGTCTAGGGTGTCCTGGTGTCTTAGAGGCCAATGTCATTGCCATCAAAAGTGATATCTATCTAAACTTTTTATGAAGAATCATTCCTAGCGTAATAATTGACATTGTGCAATTGTTTTGTAGCACACTGGCTTGAGAGGTTCCATTGACCCTTTGCTTGAGGAGGCTGACATTGATAAAGATGGAAAAATAAGCCTTTCAGAATTTCGCCGACTTCTACGGACTGCAAGCATGGGTTCAAAGAATGTACCTAGTCCATCTGGTCTGCGGAATACTTGTAAGTTATAGGTTGGAATTGAATTATTGAGGGTTGATCCGTGGAGAGACAAAAGACAGCAGCTTTTGCTTGCTTGGCACCTGTAGGACCCCAAGCAGGCTTCCCATATACCTGTCTCCATCAGCGTTCTAGGGACCCTTTTTGACTCGAGTTTTGTGTGATGGCGTCCCACTTTGGGGAATCCACTGCTGAGAGGTCTTTGGATATATAAGATTTGATGTTGGCTCTGGTAGTGAGATAGCTCCAGGTATATGGTCATACTGTGTACATTCGTTGGTTGGGTATTTTCCTTGTTGTACCCTCCATATTTGTAATATGTGACTATAAATACTTTATCAATGAAAATACGGTGCACCCGAATTCTATTCCATGTGTTAATAGTATCTTGTTAATCGTCTCTACCTGTGTTCTTGTTACTGTTCTGTATTCTGGTCATAAAGAACGTTGATCAGAACCTTAAACCAACAGAAATACATTAGACATGGTTAATACAGCAAAGCTGGGCAGGGCTGCAGGGGTTGGCACACAGTCTCCCATGCAACAGCATCTTTCCCTGGTCTAATGGTGGTACCAATTTCAGCTTAGCCAGCTCCTCTTCAGTAAACAAACTTAACGATCCAACCATCAAGCTTGTATGTCGAAGGATGGATTTGATTCTCTTGAGGATCACGTGGGCAGGGTCTTATCATCTTTCCTGCTAATATTAGGTGTGAAGTCTATTTGTTACAGGGCACCGTGATTGCGAAATGAGGCTTAAGTCGTACTTGCTTCCCTTGTTCCGGCCAAAAAAGCAAGTAGCAAGAGCCACTTTCTCGCTGCTTCACCCAACGAAAGCTAAGAAAATGAGAGGTTGGTAAATTATGACTGCTAACAGCGAAAGGAAGGCCACTGTCAACTTGTTGGAGGCTTGGAGGGTCATTTTACTGCAATAATTGCAGTGGGAACGGGTGGACCTTTTGCAAGATAAGAAGTCCATCAGTGACAGCGGCTTGCAAAGTTAGGATCACTCATCCACAATGGCAAGTGGGCCGGTGGCGCTTCTATGGTTGGTTATATTTCTCTTACGGTTCACTTTCAAAAGAAAACTTGGTGGAAAAGAAAAATCATTATTCATCAAGGGGTCCGATGTCCTGACTCCTGAAACCTTCTGCAATGAATTGTAAATGCCACCATTATGATCTAAAGCAGATCTTGCAGCCAGATCATCAAAGTTTCCAACATTGACAACAGGTTATCCTCGACTCCAAATTAGAAAAAAAATTAAAGACAGCAGTCCTTCTCGATGACATTATAGCATATCCAGATCATTGCATCGATTTTTTAAATGAACATGACAGAATCATAATGACTGTCGAATGGTATTTAACAACAGAAAGAATTTACAATGCACATACACCTAGAGGCTGGAATCATCCAGGACTGGCCAAGCTTTACTGATGGTATAACCTAGATGGGGAAGATTAGAGTTTTTGTTTTTAAGTCAAATATATGGAAGTGTGATAGAGATGTGCATCTTCCAGGCCCTCCAAATGCCAAAAGAATCTGCCAGCATGCAGAAAATACGCCATTGTTTCCATACTTCTTTTGACACAACCCTTGCTTCCATATTGAAGACTAGTTCTCGGAACTCAACGTGTTAAAGCTGAAATCAAGATACTACTGCCGGGTGTCACAGTCCAGACATGTTAGATTGAGATGCTAGCACTCTGAATAGTCAAAGTAACAAGACAAAAGTTATTCACTTGTGGACTTTGGAACATCATCCACACAGTTAGAGGAGCTATCCTGAAGACCTTGAGATGAAGAGTACCGGCTTGAAGAGCTACCATTGACCATACTTCTCTCCTTCTGTGTTTGCTTCGCTTTTTTTTCTCCAGCAGACAATTCCTGCATATGAAAAATTCAGTTACACTCAGTTTTCAGCATCCCAGACATTATAACAAGGGTTGTAGACTGATAAAATTTACCTGGTTTGTTGATGATCCAGGCATTTTAAGTTCAAGTTCTGTCGCCACATCATTAGAACCATCACATCTATCCCCATTACTTCCTCTTTGGTCATCCATCGATTTGCTTCTAGAATCTCTTTTGATAGAAGTGTGGGAAGAGGATGCATGTTGTGATGATGGCTGATCGATTGGAGGATTGGTGGTGGTTGAATATGGCATGAAGGTTGAGCAGGGATTGGCAATGGCACCTGGATTATGATTTCCAAAAAATGGATATGGTTGCAGTGAGGGGTGTATTGGAATTGGGCCTGCAGGCACAGGCAGATGAACTGGATATGAATAAGGTGGAGTCATGACAACTGAAGGATCAATACCATTCCATGGAAACATGACCCTAAGTCTTTGCTGATACTGAACATTAAGGTTATCAATATCAACTTTTAGAGATGCCTTTTCTTCTCGGAGCTCATTCTTCTCTTGAGTCAGCTGTTTGGAACAAAAATGTAAATATCAAAAGCAAGTAACAGTGCCACACTCTATAGGCCTCAATATTAAGAAAATGTCACCTCACGTGATTCTTCAGTTAGTGATGAACACTCAGCCTTTAGCCTGTTCACTTCTGCAGTTAAATCCTTAAGCATTTGGATTGTGTCCATAAGTATGGTTGCCTTATCATTCTTAGGCCTATCTGGATCTGCATTTCAAACTGTGATTTTTCAGAAATCAAGCACTAAATTTTCGGCAACAATGCATCAGGGAAGAACTACTGGTAATCATGCCCAAATAAGTGCTTTTGAGGTAGGGACAACAGGATCAGAAAATTCAAGGCTCCTACTCCATCTTATTTTTGAAAGTTCAGCTGCATTCATAACAGAGGGAACAAACATTCACCTCTGGTTGGTACAAGATGATTTTGCTCTGACATTCTTAGATTACAGAAAATCATAACAAAATCCTCCCCAAAAGAGAAAAACCTACACTCTATACAATTGATACAGCCCTCAGCTGCAGAACCACCCCAGACCCTGAGCGTTACAATCACAACACACTCTGCACATTCATACAATCATCCTAGCATCTTAAACCCAGGACAAAAACCCCATAAAAACCAGGCAGCATCCTTGTTCAAAGTGTTGAAGCAACATAAACAATTTTGATGCCAAAAACAAAGGAGGATCCTGATAAAAAGAAAAACATGACCTGTACAATGTTCAACACAATGAACCTGTACATTCAGCAGCTCAATAAAAATCATCCAACAAAACACAGGCCCAAAGCACATAAAAACCACGACCACATCAGAAGATCTGAAGAGTCAGCCTTTCCCCACCAACATCTGAAAACAGAAAAAACATCCCCCTCGCAAACCAATAGCATCATAACCAAAACAGATTACTCAAAGACCTTAAACAGCTCACCTTGCCTTTGCACACCAGCTTTAGCAAGGCTCCTACTCCATCTAGCAGCACAGATTTAGGGAAAGCAAACATAAATAAGTCAAATCCAACTATACTGAAATTCTGAACCTAAGAAGGGAATAGACGTCGCTCCAGATCGCAGGAAAATGAGTCAGAAGCTGCAATCAAGCCAACGCAGTTTGAAAAGAGTTTCCAGAAAGACCTATCCTTGCACCACCAAGGATAGTTGGAGAAAATGGAAAAAGTCTCAGAAAGTTAAAGTATCGGAAAGAAACTGAGGATACATTTCTCTACCACTTCCTGAATTGCATCTTTTCACTGTTGTAAGCAATGTTTGACTGTTTTACTTGTCTATGCACATTTGCATTAAGTGTCTAAAACATGAAACAAATTGCAATACCCTTTTGCTCAGCAGCTTTTAAGTATGCTGAGTTAAGTAGATATTCAGAACTCAACCACCATTATTCTTATTAAAAGTCATTTAAACTGCTCGCATCAACGCACGGGCATCTAACAGTCGAATGCACCAGACACATCCATCAGGAATGACATGGCATTGAACTTCTAATATGGTTAGTGCAATTGTTGCTAAACTAACTCACCAAAGAACCCAAACCTACTTGCAAGGCTGACTGGCCTAGCAACATTTGTAAATCCAATGCCAAGTGATCAAGGATATCAGCAATTAAACAAATTGATGAAACGCCATAATTTACCTAGCGTGTTTCCCAACTCAAGAAACTGCTCATTCAGCCTGTCCCTCCTCAATTTTTCACGGTCTGCCTTCTGAACTTTCCTTGCAGCCATTGGATCCTTAACTTCCACCTCCTGCCTTTGTCTGCTAAATACACAAAACATATAACCAACGAATATCAACCAATAAATAACCCACAGAAAGGAAAAACAATTACTTTCAGTTCCTGACAAGTCAAGGAATAGTCTAACGTTAACGGTGAAATACGCAAGACAGGACCCAAGTTAAAGAATAAAAACAGAAAAAGAGAAACCTGGGTTCAGGGTTTGAAGGGCCCAAATCTGCTGCAACAGACTTTGAGAAATCGTTGGACTTCCATTGATGATCCATGCTGGTTTTTCCCCTTACTACTGCAGTTACATTAAAAGCTAGAAATCAAGCTAGGATTTAATACTGGCTTTGCAGACTGAAGCTGATGATCCTAAATTATTTTTTTTTCTTTTTTGAGGTGAATTTTGAGTTTCTGACCGAGAATAAGGAGGATTTTTTTTGTTGAGAAAAATCGTAAATGGGCAACGAAGAGGAACCAGGACAGCATTAACTTGTGTTCTCCACGAGCCTCGACCACGTGCCCAACCTGTTCCTTGGCCTGTCTGTGGGGTATATATTTTTAGGAACCTTAAAAAGACAGATTTTTCAAGTGGTTCGCAGACCACCGTAACTTTCGTAGGATCCGTTGACTTCAATTCAATTGGCTGATGAGGTCGTATCTGAATTCAGCAACCAAAGCCCACCCGAAGGCCCAAAACCCAAACTGACAAAGCCGATTGCCTTCGACGGCCGCCTGCTTTGCTTTCATCGCTCGCTCGTCGGAGCAAAACCAGAGAAGAAAACGAAAAGGGAAATTTTTAGTTAGGAAGAAATGAAGATTGTAACTTACAACGTAAATGGTCTGAGGCAAAGAATCTCACAGTTCGGATCTCTTTCCAAATTGCTCAATTCATTCGATGCTGATATAGTCTGCATCCAGGTCCCAAATTCCACCCCCCCCCCCTTTCTTTTTTTGCAAAGGAAAATTTACTTCCATGATTTTATTTTCCTGATTTTATTTGCCTGGAATTAGGAAACGAAATTGAGAAGGCAAGAATTAACGGCCGATTTGGCAATAGCCGATGGCTACGAGTCTTTCTTTTCATGCACTCACACCTCCGATAAAGGCCGAACTGGGTACTCCGGTAAGCTTTTTGGTCATTTAACTCAACGAGAACAAAGGAAATTTCCCCTTTTTTTATTCATTTTTCAGTTTATTTTCAGGTGTGGCTACATTTTGTCGTGTGAAGTCGGCGTTCTCGAGCGTAGAAGCGGCATTGCCCATTGCGGCAGAGGAAGGGTTCACAGGCCTTCTAGGATGTTCTAGAAAAGACGAAGCGGCGGCTTCAGTAGCTGAAGGGCTGGAGGAGTTCTCAAGAGAGGAACTTCTCAAGGTTGATAGCGAGGGGCGGTGCATTATCACGGATCATGGTCATTTTGGTTAGTTTAACGTAAGAATATTGATTTGATTAGTGCTTTAAGAAGGCCTAATTATGTTAATCTTGCTTAATTGTGTTGGGTTAGTTCTCTTCAACTTGTATGGACCCCGAGCAGAGAGTGATGATGCTGATAGGATTCAATTCAAGCTCAATTTTTTCAAGATATTACAGGTAAGGAAATTTGTTTCAGTAAGAAAATTTCACTTGTAAGGTGTAAAATTGGTGCAATGGGGGGGTTAATACCGGTTGTCTTTGTTGTAGAAAAGATGGGAGTCTCTGTTGCGTCGGGGAAGGAGGATTTTTGTTCTTGGTGATCTTAACATTGCTCCTTGTGCTATTGATCGTTGTGATGCAGGACCAGATTTTGAGAATAATGAGTAAGCTTCAGGCTGGCTGAGTCTACCATTTTTGCAGCTCTATAGACAGCAGTATAGGTTAAAGCCGATTTTTGTTTAGTAATTAATTCAGTTGAAATGTGTTATAGGTTCAGGACGTGGTTTAGATCCATGCTAGTGGAATCAGGAGGTCATTTCTTCGATGTTTTCAGGGCAAAAAATCCCAACAGGTTTAAATCTTTCTCCTTATAACATTGATTTCATTCTGTTTGACTAATGTACTGCCTATAGCATCATTTGAAGTTCTGCCGTCCATTTTCATTGTTATTAGCTGATAGGCGTTAATTCTGTCTTTGAACAGTTCTGGCTATGAAGGCTTTTATTATTTTAAGGTTCTGATTGTTTACTTGTTTTTCCATCTTTACAGAAGGGAAGCATTTACATGTTGGCCGTCAAATACTGGTGCTGAACAATTCAATTATGGGACAAGAATTGATCATATTCTCTGTGCTGGATCTTGCTTACACGAGGAGCATGATGTTGACGGACATAATTTGGTGACCTGTCATGTAGAGGAGTGCAACATTTTGACAGAGTACAAGCGGTGGAAACCTGGAAATGCACCAAGGTAAATGTTAGATCTGACCCTGTGGTTGAATTGAGTAATGAAACAATACTGAACTGGTACTTTCTACTTGGTTCAAAATTGAAAACTAGATTTCCCCTTTTCTGATTACTGCATGGTCATCCTGACGATCAAACATCTAAGTTTTGATGGTTTTGCTCCTTGTTTTGAAAAACTCACAGTTGTACCATGTTGTTCTACATCAAATCTTACATGATCTAAAGATGTAGATAATTCTGTTCATGTGTTTTCTTATGTCTTGCCTCATGTAGGTGGAAAGGAGGGTGGACCATTAAATTAGAAGGTTCAGACCATGCTCCTGTTTATACAAGCTTGGTGGAAATTCCTGATGTCTCACAGCATAGTACTCCATCTTTAGCTGCTAGATATCTGCCAATGATTCATGGTCTGCAAACTCTTGGTACAAGATACTATTCCTCTTTTTTTATGCTAGTCTCATTTAAAGTTTAGATCTGTCTTTCAGAATCATTTCTGTAGCATTGGAAATTTTCAAAGATTTTCTCTTTTTCACCTCTTTTCTTGGACAGTGTCAGTTTTAAAGAGAAGGCAGGCTGCTAAGCAAGTCCAATCCCATTTAGTATCAAGTTCATTTTCTGATGAAAATATCATCGTAGGAGGTTGCAGTCATAGTGTCAATAGGTCGATCACAAGTTGCAATGTACCTGGAACCCATATATCCTGCTGTTCATTGGACCAGGACTCTGAAAATACCATCCCACAAGTTGACGAGCAGTCTGAAGATCTCACTGAGGAGGTTGCTTGTAACACTTCAATTGTATTCAGCAGAGAATATGTTAGCTCAATGCCTAACAAAGAAACCAAGAAAAGAACAAGAAAGAGTCAACAGCTCTCCTTGAGATCATTTTTTCAGAAAATTCCAAACCAAGATAATACCGTTGACAGTTCTACTACTGATACGCCAACCAATCAGACTGGTGTTGTAGATTCTAATGATCTGTTCCTGGAAGCTCCTGTGATGGATGATCTTGGAAGCAGTCCAACGCAGAATGACACGAAATTGAGTGCATCCTCACAGGGTCAAGAAGCACAAGATGGGAATTGTTATTTGGAGAAGGAGAAGAATAACGTTGCTTTACTGGAGTGGCAAAGGATACAACAACTCATGCAGAATAGCATACCTCTTTGCAAGGGCCATAGAGAACCTTGTGTTTCACGAGTAGTGAAGAAACCAGGTCCTACTTTTGGTCATAGATTCTATGTGTGTGCTCGAGCTGAGGTATGCATTTGCCATCTTTTCATCAACCACTCTGATCTTTGACTTGCAGCTTACATTAGGAAAGGTGCATGATAAATGAACTAATTGGATTTGTTTCTTTGGCATCTTGCAGGGTCCTGCTTCTAACCCTGAAGCAAATTGTGGTTACTTCAGATGGGCTTCAGTGAAATCTCGACCAAAATGATGGTAGATCCTTCATCTCAAGTTTGACTGAAGGATGTGTAAATTTCCTTCCCCTGCCATTTTGTAAATTATAGTATCCTCAATCCTGTTCTGCCTCTTTCCATGCTAGAGAGTAAACACTCCCACTCATCCTAATCAAAAAGCCCTCTAACAAATTGTCTTCCTAAGCCGGTAAATATTACAGGTAATGAGGATGCTGAATGTCAGTTCATCTGGGACTGTCAGATGGATCAATTTTTCCAAGTGGTTCAACACTGCACTTGTTGAGGATGTCAGGGCATCAGCTTATCTAGTATCACCATAGGATCAATCATCTGTAATTTGTTACCTCTTTAGTGTATTATATGAAGCAAAGGGGAGAATTTCTCTTCATGAATCACTCATTTTCCATTCTTTCAGCTTTTAGCTCATAGCATTTGATATCTACCTAAAGCCTACTCCAAAAGGCTTTATGTAGATGGAGATGGGATCATGCATGGGAGTGATGGGGACTTATAGCTCGAAGTTCTTTTTTTTTTAAAAAAAACTTTACTCAGAGAATAGAGTTTGAACACTTCTCCTCTCAAATGAAAAAGCGAGCATAGATGGAAAGAATAGCTGAATCAAATAAGGTAGTAAACGACCTGATGGGAATTAAACCAATGGATAATGGTAACTTATTAATTTCAATATCAATGCCAACCAAAGGACAAGAATTATCTAGAGAAAAGATGGGAAGTATATATATATATGTAAAGAATACAACCAAATTTTCAAATGGCTACATCATAATCCTAATTGGGTAATAAATTAATAGAATAAAGAGGAAATAAGATAGAAAATAGTTATATTTTGTAATTTGATTTATTAGAATAGAATTAATAGTTTGAAAAAGTAAAATAATTATGTAAGGGATAATAATAAAAAGAGTATTTTACCTATCGATATAAATAATATATTTTTTATTTGGAAATATTATTTATTTCTTTTTATAGTAAACCAAATACTGAATTGACCATCCCATTATAAATAGAGTTGAAATGGCAAACATGAGCCAGAAACAGAAACGACCAGATCATTTAGCATACATGGAGTTACAATTTCCAAAGAATACTGCTACCATTCTTCAAACGTAGCCACACTTTTGGCCCATGTTCATCACTTGCTAACTTGTAACAGCAGATTGATCATCTTCCTCAGTTTCTAGCGGGGTCGGGTCCCCCTCATCATTGCAAATGAAGCCAGCCACAAACTTCAGTTTGAGTCACAAGCATCTCCTGAGAGATTATACGCCATCACCCAGCAATGACCATTGCAGAACCGTGGTCGTTAATCAGCGCATTGTTGTCACAACCATGGCTGCAACAATAAGTCTTTGTCTCATCGTTTTGCTAATCTGCAAATGCTTTCACCGGTCAAATCGCTCCAGAAATCCCACCAACGTTAACCCAAGAGCACCATCCATCGACGACGAACTCGCATCCATTCCTGCCCTTGTATATGCAGAATCGACGCTGCGGTCATCGCAGCCTTCTTGTTCTGACGACGATTCCTTGGAGCTTGAAGAACACTGCGCTATATGCTTGGAAGGTTACGTGCATGGAGACAGTGTCAGGGTTTTGCCGAGTTGTAAGCACACGTTCCACAAGAAATGCATTGAAGAATGGCTTCAGGTTCCATCTTTGCGTTGTCCCATTTGCAGGGATCAGATTCTCGAGCGTTGCCTGCAATCCACGAGGTCCAATAGCAGGAATCAAAGGGATGGTATTGCTAATCCTTTTCCATCTCTGGCTTTCAACCTTGATGGTAACTATGCATTGTATCCATCAGTGATCAGCAATTTTACCCAAACGTTTTCAATTACTTAAGGGTGAAAAATTAATCTAGGGTGTGCTATATGAACAAAACAATCTTGTTATTGAGTGTTGGTTAACTGTAACTGCGGCTTGGTATTTTTCTCCTGCTATTTGCTCTTCGGCAGTGCCTTTTTTTTTTTTTGTAGTTTTATTTTCTTAATTTCTTGATATTTAATTTCGGGTCACATAGACTTATTAGACCGGATTAAGTAGAGTTCACATACCTTATAGTCGGATTTGAGATAGATTCTGATAAGAAGTTTTGTGTCGCATGTTTCGAGTTCTGGAAAGATATTAGTTACTTAATGGATATAATATATTTATTATCTCTTGGATATCTTATACTCAATAACCAAATCTAATTTAACTGTTTAAGTCATTATTCGTCGTATTTTAGAACTTGTTTATTGTTAATCATGAGTGTATTTGAATTTTAATTTAAATGTTTGTTTAATATTAATATCTTTAATTTATTAGTAAACTACATATATTACTTATAAAATAAATATCTTTTTTGTTTATATCAATTAATCGAGAACCTATATATGAAGAGATTTGAAAATTTAAGTATTTAACTAATTCAAATACTTTACTTGTAAGGTTAGAGTAATAATTTAAATATTAATTCAATATTTAAAAGGTTCGGATATCTTGACAAATAATAAAATTTCGAGCAAGAGATTTTTGGACCCTATTCTGGGGCAAAGAAGCTAATCAGCCTAAGTTGGGCTGATGATTTGTTTAAGCCGGACCTTGGGTTTAGTCGAGACTGTTTTTGATTGGGCGTGTAATCGAAATGTTTAGACGCAAAGCGAGAAGTTCCTTGCATTTATTTATTTATTTGTTGGTCTTTCTCTACAAGCAGGATGATTTGTAGTTTGTACAATCACACTTCTTCCAAAACCAACCAAGTTTATTGTTGAATTGAATTTTCAAATTTTGATTTCTATTTCTTGACTATATTTACTTGGAAAATAATTCTAGGATGAATTTTCCATACTTAACACTATGATTATATATAGATGTGATTTAGTCTTTTATAAACAAATTCTTACACATATCCATATCTGTTTTTGCTTTGTGTGTTTAAAATTGCTCTAATTAAAGAACTTTCTTTCTCATGTTCTTTAAATTTTATAAAAAAAAAAGAGAGTGTGCAATAAGAATTTTAACTGTTCAAATACTTTTTCAAAAATTGGTTATAATTAAATAGTAGCCTCTTATTTTGATATGTAAAGAAAGTTCGTCTAAAATTTTATAGAAATGACAATATTCTTAGAGAAATTAAGAATGATAAATTCAAGAGTTGTACCTTGTGAACGTTTTTAGGTTTAGGACTGAACATTAATCAATTCTCATAAAATAAATTCATTGAAACTTTCGGTTTGATTCGATTTATTCAACTACTTGGATCGATTTTTTATACCCAAAATTTTAATCTATTCAAGAATAACAATATGTGAAGCTACTTATGCAATAATGAAAATTAAGACAATATATTTAAGGAATAAATCTTGGTTCCCATGCATGCATGTATCCAAAATCATGTTGTTATCAGCACTCATATATATTAATATATATATATATATATATATATATATAACTTAATCATTGAAAACAAATTACGCCAATAATTATTTGGTCTACAGCCGACAAGATAATTACGACTTGTTTATGTGGGTTTACATGTAATAATTAAACAGTAATAATATTTAATAAGTTTGATGATAGTTCATTGACTTTCCAAATTGATTCTCACCCATCCTTTTCGGAAGTGACCCGGTGTGGATATACACTAAGAAAAAGGTCCGGGCTAGCAAGCAATTCCATGCTGAGACGCTGCCTTATAAGAGGTTAAAACAAGCATCATTCTTATATATATATACAAACAAAGAAAGTGTGTTGCTCAGATAATTAACCATGTTGGATGGAAGCGATTGGAAGGTTAATGGAAATGCTTGATTCATGTCGTGATCAATTGACAGACCAAAAAACCCAATTTGCTGGTGTTGAAATCCGCCATGGAAAGGTTAACTTTTCCCTTCTTATTGGATTAATCTGATGTTACGGCATGGGAGAACTCGAAGCGGGGTGACTGCTCGTAGTTGGCATGGAGCCACTAGGAAACCAATAACGACGTTAGACCATGTTTCACGTCTATGGAGATCAGCGTCAACTACTGGGCAACAGCACAAATCAACCCGACAGTGACCCAGAGACAATTTTCAACTCGAACGTTTCAGCAGTCTCTTGCCAAACTGATGAAGCCATTTCTAGCCTGTCAGCAAGCTCTTATGATTATCATTCATTTTTTCCTTTTTTTTCTTTTTCATATAATCCAAACCTCAATTATATTCTTATATCAGTAAAATTCTGAATGCTAGAAGAAGTGTTTTCCAATTGCAGAATCAGTGTATTCTTCGCTTAGTTGGCTAGCTGAACCTCAAGGTCTTTTTACAAGTTATTTTCTGTCATTATATAGTGGGAATTCATTAAAACTCTGTAAGAATACAGAAAAGGATTGGCCATAGGCCAACCCTTGACAGCAAACAGACATCTGGCATCAACAAATACCAGAAAACAAAAGGAAAAAAAAAGAAAGGCAGAACAACGTATATCTATATTAAATTTGTGACTAGACTACATGTTTGTAGACGTTGGTGGCAATGGAAAGTTGCCAAATTGGGGGGCCAAAGTATACAATTTTCAACTCGAACGTTCAGCAATCTCTTGCCAATTGATCAAAACATTTGTACCCCACCAGCAAGCTCTTACAATTATCATTCAGTAGCTTTTTTTCTTTTTCTTTTTTGGCTTCGTTTAAGACATGATCTAGACCTCAATTATATACATATATCAGTAAAATTCTGGATGCTAGAAATGTCTTCCAATCGCAGAACCAGGTTGCGTCTCATGGAATTTCTGTCAAAACCTGATTGGTAACCTGGAAGATATCAGTGTCTACCTAATTTTGCTTAGTTGGCTAGCTGAACCCTCCAAGGTCTTTTACAAGTTATATTCTTTCATTATATCTATATAAAATTTGTGTCCAGGCAACATGTTTTGTCGACGTCAGAGGGGCAATGGGAAGTTGCCAAATTTGGGGACCAAAGTACACATTGATTTGCAGTGACCTTGGCTTGAAAAGGATTAAGGAGATGTCTAAATGGCCAAATGGGGCATCTATCTAATATAAAAATATGTGTCTCTTGGTTGCCCCTAGAGCTGGGAATTGAAACCATGATAATTGCATTAGTTTATTAGTTAATCATTGACTTATAACTTCCTGATCGAATAGCCATTTTTTTAATCTAAACAAACATAGAGGGACTATTGAGAAATGGGAAGCAAATTATGTGACTTTCTAATAAAAATAAAAAGTTACAGGCAAATTCTATCTATATTTTTTGTAATTTATTTATTTTTTATTAATATTTTGTGAATAACTTTTCTTTTCGTGAAAAGCAGAGTGATTGAAAATGATGAAGCACGTTGTAAGACTTTTTGGTTTTATTTGGACAGAAAAGAAAAATCAAAGGAGAATCTAAAGCTAAGAGAGATGGATTCACTGTGGAGTTGAAATGAGAGGTGAGTGCATGGTGACAAACAGAGAGTGGGCACTTTCCATAAATTCTCTGAGTCCCATTTATCTGGAAAGGAAAGGAGTACCGCAAACATGCAATAATACATATATATATATATATATATATATATATATAAATTTAATACCACTCAAAATTATCTTTTTTTTTTTATTTTTCTAGACATATACAATATCTCCCTTTCAATCCCAAAGAAAATCTATATCATTTTATGTCTTCTTTCTTTTGAAGAATCTTTGCTAGGTGCTTGTGGGGCTGTAATGTATCCATTCAATACTTAGATCGAATGCGACCCCCATATTTATTCTGTGGACATAAAAATAAATAAATAAATAAATAAAGTGGAAAAGAAAAAGATTTTTTTTCCTACCCTTTTTTATCAAGGAAAGTAATGGTGGACAAGAAGAAAGAGAAATGCTATTAAGTTGAATCATGCAATAATTGTCGGACACACACATATATGTATATAAAATTCAGATTAAATTTGTTGGTTTTTGTTCGTATTTGTATTCTTTCAAATAATTTGCATTACCTTTTAAAATTTTTATTAATTACTTGAATTAAGTACAAATAAATCTTGTCTCAAGCTATATGGGTTTTTCATGTATTAAGTAGTTGCATGCGACTATCATTTTTTCTGATAATTAAAAAGGCCAAAGAAAGAGGAAAAAAAAAGGAAAAGAAGAATACCCAAATAAAAAAAACCAAAAAGTTAATGATAAAGTATTAACTAAACCAAACCTTAAATATAATGATTAGGCATGAAATTAAGCGATAAATTGAAGGGGAACTCTCTCTTGATACTTTTTGTTTTCTGTTTGATTAATATTTTTGTTTTTTATTTTTGACCTAAAATAAATGAAAAAGGAAAAGCAAAAAAAATTAATAAAAAAATGAATAAAACACCAAGATAGTGAAAAGCAGACAATACAAGTATCAACCAAATGAAACCTTACATATGACGATTAGGCATGAAATTAAATGATGAACGGAAGGCGAGCCGTCTCCCAATAGCTTTGTTTTATGTTTGATTGATATTTTTGCTCTTTATTTTGTTTTTTTTTTAATTTTTTGACATAAAATGAATAAAAAAAGAAAAGCAAAAAATAAAAAATGAATAGAACACCAAAATAGTAAAAAGCAAAAGTATTGACTAGCTGAAACCTTACTTATAATGGTTAGACATGAAATTAAATGATGAATAAAAGACGAGCAGAGCAATCCCTCAATATTTTTGTTTTCTATTTGATTGATATTTTTATCTAATTTTAACAAAAAAAGAATAAAAAATAAAATCTAAAAGTATCAATCAACTGAAGCCTTACGTACAACAATTAAGCACTGTGACCAAACAAAGATTGAGAAGTTTGCATTGATTGAAGCTCAACCACTGTGGTCCTGTAGATTAAT